GTCAAAAATAAGGCTCCGCTCGCTCTGATTGTCTTCCGTTTCCCTGGAATTTACTGCTCGTAGATAAAAGAAAAAGATATCCTGTGTAAGCCTCCTCCATTTGTCTTCCCAGTGAGTTACAACTCTGATGGGTCTTCCAACATTTTTTTCTTTCACTCAGTGTATTTCCTTAGTTCATGTCACGCCAGGTGTTCAGTAATCACCCAGCGCCAATTATGCTGAGAGAGGTCTGCTTCCTTTAATGGTCTGAGTTCTGTGTGATCAGCATTGCATAGTGATCCTCTATAGCAAAGCTATTTCCAAGGGCTTCATGCCAGATTCATTTAAAGGAACAGCTCCCACAGGACCTAGCAGATATTTTGAAAATCTAGTTGTGTCCCCCAAAAGGAGGCTGTTGTATACTGAGCTCTTTTGCAGATCTGAACCCTATTTGTAGATAGATACAAATTGAGGCAAATGTTAGTTTCTTTACTTATTTTAAAATATTGATATGCCTATCAAGTTTCACGTCTTCAAACGGCTTTGGAAATCTGCAGACATGTAGCAACTTAGCAACCATTAGCTTTAATGGTTTCATAAGTTGTGTGTGGGCACATGCACATCATCTTCAGCTTAATGTATTCCCTGTGATATTCCGTGTTACTAAGAGAAAGTTTCCCCCAGCAGTAGAGCTCTCTTCACGTACTCTTTGTTCACAAGCTGTCCCCAGCAGTACTTACTTCCAGTTGTTATTATACTTTAGTTTGCTTTGTGGTGGAAACATTCTTGCTAGAGCTTTGTCTAGTGAGAGCTCTGCTGTCATTTACTATTCCTTTTGTAAATATTACAAATCCTTATTCCATCCCAAACTTAGCAAGATACAATAGCACTTCCTTATGTGATGGGAACAGCATTGTGCAGATCTTTTGTAGGTGGCACAGTAGTTAACAGACATCTGTAAGTATACTGATGCTGGTTCTAAAACCAAAATGCTTGTGTAAATCATTGTCACTCAGCTGCTAAGGATTCATAGATTCATAGATGTTAGGGTCGGAAGGGACCTCAATAGATCATCGAGTCCGACCCCCCTGACCTGATTGATAATTGTAGCATAGAGCTGAAGTGTCATGAGTATTTATTTAATGACAACAATTGGCTTGGCTCTGTACAGAACACAGATTTCGATTCAGAAGGTAGTATGTTGTCTGTATGTTTGCTCTGCAGCATTTAGCATTGTATGTAAAGGTAGAAACGGTGGAGAGGATGCCTAGGTTTGTCTGGTTCTGTTTTGTTTGGGAGAACTCGGTGTGCCTGCCAACCTGCTGGAGCCAGGCACTGGGGTGGGGGGACAGGTGGGAGTGGACTGTTGTTGGTCAGGCCTAAACCATCAAGAAGTTTGGGATTGAAACTGCATTGGTGATTTCCATGGTGTGCAAGCTGCCTGGCAGAACGTAGTCAGAGATGCTCTGAGTGCAGCTGATGGAAACCAAAGACAAGCTAGGGGTTCATGGGAGTGGGTGCCAGAGAAGCTATGAGTGGAAGGGACTCAGGAGGTGATACTCAGAGCCCAAGGGGTGACAATCCCAACAAGAAGCAAAGGGGGCAAGAGTGCTCAAAAGCCCCCCAGCTCACCAAGGGCATTCAGGAATGCAGGTGTACACCCAGTGGAAGGGAGGGGCTATCACCAAAGAGGAGTATACCTCCACCGCTTGGGTCTGTAGGGGGGCTGTTAGGAAAGCTAAGACAGATACGGAACTAGGGCTAGCATCGAGGATAACAAAAAGTCCTTTTTTAAATACATAGGGAGCACAAAGAAGGCACCGGTTAAGGTGGGGCCCCTGCAGGATATGCTTGGCAATCTGGTGGTCACACCAGAGGAGAAAGCAGACCTCTTTAACAATTTCTTCTTGTGCAGGGACTGGGACTCCCCTACTGAGATTCGAGACAGGCTCAGGAGAAACTCTGCCAAGCCTAGGGTCAGGGAGGACCGCGTTAGAGAGCTTCTGGAGGGGCTGGATGTGTTCAAATCAGCAGGTCCAGATGCTCTCCACCCCAGGAATTGAGGGAATTGGCAGGGGTTATTGCGGGGCCCCTGGCACGGCTTTACAAGCACTTGTGGTGCTCTGGCCAGGTGCCAGATGACTGGAAGAGGGCCAATGTGGTCCCCATCTTTAAAAAAGGGAAGAGGGAGGACCCAGGCAACTATAGGCCCATTAGTCTTACTTCAATCCTGGGGAAGCTCTTTGAGAAGATTATCAAGGAGCACATCTGTGAAGGGCCAGCAGCGGGGATGATGCTCAAGGGCAACCAGCACGGTTTCATTAGGGGCAGGTCATGTCAGACCAACCTGAATGCCTTCTACGATCAGGTCACAAAATCACTGGACGCAGGTGTCGCAGTGGATGTAGTCTTCCTGCACTTCAGGAAGGCCTTTGACACTGTCGACTACCCCATGCTCATTAAAAAACGAAGCGACTGTGGCATCGATGCCTACACAGTCAGATGGATTGCAAATTGGCTGAAGGGTCATACTCAGAGGGTGGTGGTGGACGGGTCATATT